ATGCCCCTGCCCCCATCCCAGCATATATGCCTTGCTGACACAGGTGAGGGCAGTAAATACCAGCAGGGGGTCGGGCTTGCCCCAGGACATGACAGTCCAGCAGATCTCCTTTGATCAGTGTCCAGCCCCAAGAACCCTTTGATGGTCTTCATTTGCATATCAAACAGCAACGGGCAGCTCACGATATTAAGGAACCTTTCCATCAAAGATGTATCATAGATGTCAATTATTTTAGCTTCCAACAATTAGTCATGGCATATCTTTCTCACCTTTATGCTAACCAGAGGTACATTTTGTCCCTTGCTGAAATCTCCCTATTAATATTATAGCACATGTCTGATGATACCATTTCTCTATACGGGGTGTGACATATATGGGCTGCATTGGAAGGAATAGGGCTATGGTCCCCGTAGAAAATTACCCATAAGCTTTAAAAGCTGATAGATGATTAAGCCTGCTGGTTTTGGTTGGGCTTGAACAATAAATGAAAAGCTTGTCTATAACAGACATTTAAGTTTTGTTTAAATGCAGGCCTATTAATTCACTTTCTTTCTATGTCTACCAAAGGACTCCCAAAATGTAATATAACCCACCAACAGCAGCCATTTTGGGGATTCTGCATCATGCTGTTGGTTTGCTCATTGATTGTACATAGAATGCAGTGACTCCATCATGACAGGAGACTAAATGTCCTGCAGTGCTGGAGTTATCAAGTACAACAAGATACACCATGCTAACCTTAAAAAAACAGGCTCTGTCTTTTCCACGTTCTGGTCTCCTTGCTTCTCTTATGGCTCTGCCAAGTAAAGTGTAACCCCTACCATTTCCTCTCACAGAGATTACAGTATTACCCTTTCATCTACCATTCTCTCCAGAGCACCATCTATGTGCAGGCATCATCAAGGGTCAGCATATACTTCCTTGTATGAGATGTTGGCACAATCATGTAAATCTTGGTGATGGTGGAGTTTTTGGCTGAGCTCACAAATGTCTGACAGAGATCACCCCCTGCTGCAGCTTCTCCCTTAGACTTGCAAACAAAGTTACAGCATTGCAGTCTAATTAGGATAGAGAAATTGCTTCCTCCTGCCTGCAGACTAATGACATCATCTTAGCCCAGGCACCGTTACCTGGCTGGCACTTAACATTGCTTGTTAATGATAAAATGTGCAGATATTACAGCTTTTCAGAAAACTGTTGCAGTATGCAGTGACATATATGAGTTCTATTTATGTGGACATGGGAATTTACTAAGAGTCCTCATTAAGGTACACAGGGAACTTTAGAATAAAAAAGTGTTCATGCAAACATTGAGAGGTGAAGGCAGAAAGTACGTTTATGAAAAATAAAAACAATACACACAAGGTACAACATGTCTTACCTTGGGCAGCAGAGCAGCTCATTAAAATTGCAGTAGCACGCCATCTCACACCCTGTGCCTTCCCAAAAATGGTCTTGGAGTTTTTCTTTCATTGGCCAAAGATCCTGCACTCCCTCTGGGATGTTATGACAGTTCCGATCTTTTAGAATCTTCTTGTAACATGAGAGACGGCCAGTCGGAGTAGCAGTGATTCCCCAAACAGCAATCAATAATAGTACAACAACTCTAGCCAACTTCATTTTTCACCAGAGAAAAAATACAATTACCCTGAAAAATAAGGGCACACCATTTAGAATGAGTCTTATGTGTGTGTATAGTTCTCTGTTTAACAAAATATATGAACTGTGAAAACCAGGCAAGAATTTAAGCATTTGAGAATCCTGTCTGTTAATAATATTGATTTTTACCTTATGTAATGTTTTGAATGATTTGTAATACATTTCTAGCATTTTATAACCTTCTGACTCTTCTTTAAAACCCCACTACAACCTCAGTTGTGAATTTGTGTTCAATAAATTTCACCTCAGTAATTCTGCTGACTAGAGGTAAGTAAATATTGTAAAATCTACTCTGCTGTTGCTTTTGCAAAAAAAGAGTAGACTCCATTATTCATTATATCAAGTGAAAATTGACTTTACTTTGTAAAAAAAAGTGGTACCACTTACCAGTTCATTATGAAGCAAAGTGGCACATGGCCTTTCTAACAGCACACCCGCTGTGTAAAATCTCTGCCCTACTACTTCTACACTTACTTTTTAGGAGGACCTCTAATAACAAGGTTCCTTATTAGATGCCTCATTTACCATTTACCTCACAGAGGCAAGGCTTTTTACCATGAAAGACGAAAACCTGCGCTTATGGGCAAAGAAAACCAGAAAAGCAAGAAAAAACGGAATTGCTAGGAGCTGCTTCTACTTAAGCAATGGGCCTCACGAATAGAATCAACAGTATAGCGCTAATAGCCTCACGGTGTTGCTTACAGCAATGTGAATTACAAATCTAAATGATGTCATGTGGAAAAAATAAATATAAAGTACGAAACACTTTTGCAAGAGTGAGCTTATTTACAACCGATCTGTACCACCCATATCTAAAATCAAATGTGATAATACATCCTAGTGGAAAACACGAACAGTGAACCACTGAGTGCAATATAATCAAGGTGAATGATATATAATGTATCCTCAGATAAATCAGTGAAACAAATGTTGCAATATGAAACTTAAACTGTGAACAACTCAGTGTAATATAATCAAAGAAAGTGATATACCATTTAACTTTACATGGGTATGTAAGGCTTTTTACCATATAGGTGTCTACAGGGTTAAAAACCCACTTGTTGAATGAAGGTGGGAAGGTTGCACTCTTTTGAAAGCTTCCTGTTTAGTTGTGCTCACTGGACCAAATTCATTTTAGCATTTGGGTTCACAGTGCAGAGAATCACCTCATCCCAGAGCCTCCTGGCTTTGAACAAACCGCCTGGATTTACACGTGTTATGACTCAATGAAATTGATTTACTCATCACTTTTTTGGCTACCAAAGCATTTTATATCATAAGTGACTGCTAAAAGTCTAATGTTTTCAATCAGACTGATTGCAATGGATATACTGTAGAGTGGGATACGTTTTCAAATAAGCACAAAATTGTGTACAACTTCTAAGCAGGAAATACAGCCTATGGCCTGACTGAGCATGTATGGATGGCTCCATATACTGTATACATATAATGATAAACTACATATAAAACAACATTCTTTACATTAGCCCACATTATTTACATTAATGCATCATTTTCACATGTATATCTAAAAACAACACAGTTCCCCTCCAAAACTTTATTAGGGCACTTTTTTTACTTCCTGGACCCAAAGGAGCCGCTGGAATAACCCGAGTGTCATCAGTAGTCTGTCTAGGGGTATGATCTTAAGTCGTCCATTAGCATTAACCTCCCTCTTCTAGTGCCCACAAAGCCGATGTCCACTCCAGTAATGCAATGCTGAATAACTTTTATTAAACATCTACACACCGGGGAGAGAGGGTATAGGGATCCTAGACTTCCAGGGTGTAACAGACATAGACTCCAGTCTCACCAGACCTTTTAAGCATCTCAGTGTAGATCCTCTTTTGATACAGTGGATAGTAATTAAAGTAGCAGATGAGCAAGGATGAGCATAAATCCTCAGCAGGAGAGACACCAGTGATGCCCCTGAAGTCCTTTGAGCTTGAGGTCCTCTTGCCTTGGCAGCAACAGAGGCCTCCTCCATAATGGAGGCCCCCGGGAAACATCTCCCACACACCAGCCTTTGCCCACCCTCAGGCCTAGCCTGTGGGGTGGCTGGACAGCACCCAGGCCTAATCCATGGCTGGTCCCGACTAGTCTGAGGACAAGGCAAATCCCTCCAGTCTACACTATCCCAGCATGCACCACTGTTTGAAAGAAACCCAGTGATTGGCTGCTGTACTGTACATACATTCACAGTGCCTCTCATTGGCTGTCCCACAATACAGCAGAGTCATACTCCACCCAGGGTGTACAGTCAATGCCAGACACTTGGAATTAACCAGATAACTGCCACTATAATCCAGCCAAGCTGATTGCAGCCCTGGCAATCACTAAATTATCTATTAGCCACCTCACAAAAGGTGATGGGGGCTATACCACTATATAGAAGTTACTTTTAAAAAGTCAGACCACTTTACAAAGAAGAACTTAACTATGGTTGAGAATTGGCTAATGGAAATGTGTGAGAACAAAAAGGCACATAAGAGCAAGCATGTGATAGCCATGGGTCATGTGAAAAAGTGCACCAATCAGAATATACTGATTACACCAATAGAAGTAAAGTTTATGAAGTATGTAAAGCAGTTGAAAAGCAGACAAGTTGCAGACACTTTACAACATGCAACATATTTCCATTCCCACAATCCTAGCATCAGCTTGTGCAGGATAATACGCACACACATCGTGGCAGTTTTTTTCTGTCGTAGGTTTAGTATGAACATGATTTTCTTTAATCAGCCCGCATGGCTCCTTTTATCACTTAACTTTCTTAAAGCAGAAATGAGGCATAGTCACAAGATCAACCAAATACATCTCTAATCATACCGCACATATGTTTCAGTTTAACACTACTAGATTTTTCTCATTCATCTGGGAAAAGTGATGGTGGAGAAAAAGAGCCATGTTCAGCACTATATACCTCTGATGAAAGATCCTTTTCAGTTTCTGGTACTGGTTAGGGTGACAACAAATCTGAGGATGGAGTGGTGATGTGGGTGGGGGACCACATCAGAGAGATGAGGCCCACATCAGAGGGATGAGGAGGATGAAGACACAATGCAAAGTATGTAAACAGGAGGTTTTAGTTTCAACAACTTGCTTGTTCTGTATTTAAAAAAAAAAACTTTTACAATTCAGGGACAGGGCCCTCCTAACCATCCTGTTTTGAATTATATTGTAAATGTAATGTCTTCTTTATAGTGTAATACACTGCGCAAACTGTTGGCGCTATATAAATCCTTAATAGTAATAATAAAAAAACAAAATATATAACTCATGCTCAGTTTATGACGTTTACCGGGTTTATTTATTTATTTCTAGGTACAAATCGTTTGATATAATCTTTATTTATAAGAAATATTTAATTTAAATTATTTTAGGAATTTTCTGTGTGTTTCCTGTAATGAAGACAGTTGAAAACAAGGATTGTATAAGCCCAAACTTCACGAAGCACAGCATTGCTAGTGTTAAGGGAGTTCAACACCACCTCCTGGTCAAATTGGATATTGCAAAAAAAAAATAACATGAATGAGAAGTATTGATAGACACAAAGAAATCCATGTGCTAGTTAGGTGCAATATAAGAAGGGTGAACAAACTGTGGATATACTTTTACTCACACTTTTTTTCCCTTTTATCATATACATAATACTTCAATTGGGCCCTAATATTGCACCTTATAAGCACATGATGGCACTGTATTGAGGGGGTAATTATTGATAAAGTCACTATCAGTATAAGCACTAGGAACCAGGAGGTACATATTAGGGACCAAGTACATGACATAATCACTTATTTATTTATCAGCATATTTATATGATTATTTAATATTGTATTATGCACTTTATATGATTCCTTGTTGCTGCAACATACTTGCACATATTTGGATCTGATTTATCTTGGAGGGAATACTATATTCCCTTACTGGGATTAGCTGGTGTCCACATATGTATATTTTATTACTCTATAACATATATGAGAAATTGCTGCCGATTTCTGTTTTTGTTTTTTTAATTAAATTGAAGCCAAAACTTTTTTTTTTTTAAAGTTTTGGATGGAGTAAGTGAAGATTTTCTTTTACTCTCACTTTTACTCTTAGGTCAAATAGAGAGGGTGAATCTCCCAAAAGGGGGACAGACAGCAATAAAAACCTAAAAGCTATTCTAACCCCTCTACACTCTATCCAAATGTAAAAAATGGATTCAGTTGCACTTTAAGTGATTTTATTGAAGGTGAATAAAGAGGTTACAATTTGAATTCATGTTGTAGCTTTAATTGTATTATCAAGTGCTGATATAGTTGATAGCCTATAGTATAGATGGTACCTGAGCTTAAAATTATTTATGCTGTGGCCTAGTGAATTTGAAGTTAGCAACGTATTACTTCTGACTCGAACAGTTTTCCTCAGTCTTGTGACTTTATGAACATAGCATGCGGTCAGAGCATGCTAATAGTTAATGTATTCATAGACTGCTAATAGTTCCTGCAGATATTTACTGGTTTAAGTGCTATAGATGTATGCTAACCCTCAGACTCAAACCTGTATGTGGCACCAACATACTCCAAATGGTTGAAGAAAGTGATAGCTTCAATACCTGTCACACATCTGTAATTCCCAATTGTTCTTAATTGTTCCCAAATACCCCTAACAATACTTCCATATGGACACTGCAAGTAAGCAAGTGTGGGGGCGCCTATTGTTTAGGAATAAATCAGATTTAATCATATTGGTAAAATCTGCCCTAAGGCTGTCCACAGCTATAAGAATGGCTGGTGTTTTCCTTTCCATCTGAATGATATGCTGATAGATAATGCTTCTTCGTATCTATCATCTTCTTTTGTTGCAATAGAATGTAATTGTTGCAGTAAAGTCTCACAACTTGTTCTGGTGACAACTGCAAAATTTTGGATTTCCCATCACTTTCTATCTTGAAGACAATGACCACCTGGACAAGTAAAGGGTGTACATTCCTGACAGTGGTTCTAT